TAAAGTTTATTTTTATATTATATTATGTATATAATATAATATATTATAGAATTATTTAATATAAAATATATGTTTGTTCACATAAATTTGTGTTGAGTTGTCTATTTTTTCAGAACAAAAAATTCATGGGTGATATGTAAAATTAATTAGATGCATCTTAGATTTGAGTAAATACAGTATATTTTAATACAAATGGATATTAAAAAAATAAATTTTAATTTATAGTTTTATTCAAACTTACCTGTCACATTTAGACAAACTAATTTAATTTTGCTATTAAAATTGTTGTTATTATACTTGATTTAATCTCTGATAAATCTCATGCTTTTCTTTCAATTATTTCATATTTTAGTGCTGTTTATCAAAATTCTAAAAATTCAAAATTCTTTCCACCTCCAATCTTTATTAAATCTGAATTAGTACAAAGAGAATTTATTATTATTTAACCCAAATAAAAGTTTAGAAGAATGGCAAACCAGAAATGGAGAAATTCAGTTAAGATAACAATGAAATGCACATTTATTTAAATAGGATATGAATGACTTAAATATATTAAAATACTTAAATTACACATTTATATCTAGAAAAAGATTTTTTGAATGTGTTTTTTTATGATTTATTTATTTACAATTCTTGTAGGAGGACGGTGGAAGTCCAAAGTTTATCATTATCTTATTATCTGAGAAGAATTGAATCTCATTAGAAAATATAAATTTGTGTGTCTATGATTTACCTAAAAATCTCCAAATGACATACATAGATTGTACACAAAGCTGACTATAGAACATGTATCAAATTTATTTAAGCAGATTGTTTAGTGTTTTTCCAAAACTGATAATTCTCTCTTCCAATCCTATGTACATAAAGTATCAATCTGATAACATAATACTGTAATATATCACTTTTTTTAAGAGTAATTTAAACACATTTGTGAATTTTTACTTAAATTTTACTGTGGCCTTGAAAAATTCTTTATATTTTACAATTTACAACCAATTCTATTTTTCTACAGGTCATCCTTGCCATTTAATGAGCAAATATTTTAATTGGATGATGCACCTGTCTCGGCACTGACAAAAACACAATTGGCACATGTACACAAAACATGAAGATATTGTACATCACAGTCTATTTAAATAAGAACATAATATACACATGATTTCTTGCAACTGATAATTGCCAATTTTTATATTCATTGGCCAAGTAGAAGCACAGTGAATGACTGTCTAATATATATTTTTTATTTCAATTTTTTTTATTCCAAAATGCAGTTCATTCTGAATGTCTGTTCTGATATTTCATAAATTTAACTGAAAATCTTTGTACACTTTACTCATAATAGGAAAATATTTGTGACTTGTCTCACTCTTCCTGACTAGTTTTTATTTTCAAGTGATGAGTAAACATGGTGTCATACCCGCTTTGCTATGAGGTAACATTTTTCAGGTTCCAGATTTACGATGACTTTTGACCATTCTACCAATCTGATGGTCTATTTTCTTTTTGTAACAAATTCGTGTAAAATATCTCTAGCCATCTGCAAGTCATTTCTCGCTATTCCAAGAGCTCGAATGACTGCGTCCTGAGCATATCCCTCTGAAGTCAGTTCAGCAATATAATCCATATGGAGATTTTCATAACTAACTCTATCATTCTCTTTGTTTTCTAGTGCACTGGTTCCTAAAGGCTTTATTGACCTAATTCTTAATAAAAAAAAAAAAACATAAATAAATAAAATTTTGCATGCTATTAAAATTATTATTATTTATAATAAAAAAGTTTTTAATTTTATACATTACATTCCAGATTATGTAAAATTATCCGTTTTACCTTTTTTCCATTTTTAAATTATTCTGTTGAAAAGACGACGTTGCTTGAGTTTGTGCGTCAATTTCGGGTGCTGATTGTCGTAATGGTAGCATACCTGCTAAGATGTAATAATAAATCTTTAAATTACAGTAAATATTTAAAATCTTATTTGTAGCTTTTGTATCAATCTGTAAATTGAATATTTTAAGATAATATAATACCTGTTAGACTTTTATATTAGTATATTTCATGAATTAATGATGTATTTGTTAAGTCATTGTCTCAAAATAAAACAATCTTAAGCTATACATTAAACTTGATAAAATAAAGTTGAACATATATTCCCTCTTATTTTAAAACTAACATGAAATTGTTTTTAAATCAAGTGCTGGAAAGAGTGGAAAAGTGGTATAAGTGACAAAACAGTTTTATTTATTAAAAATACAAACAAAATTAAAAAAAAGAAAGCGTAATAAAAGTCAGTAATATTTAAGTAGATATATTTAATTTAATAAAATAATTTTTTAACCAATGCTAAATTTTATCACTAATATATTCAAGTTATATTATTTATCACTTCTATTACTATTCCACTAAACCCTTCAAATATTAGATTTTACACTTGATATCATCCTTGTAGTCACAGTTCTATATATAAAAGTGCAAAAAAAGAATATATATTTGTCTTAACAATGTAAGAATAGCAATAATATTTAAACTCAACTCTAAAAAGACTATTGTTTTTACTAAAATGTATAAAGAAAAATATATTATACTTATTAATCAATCAGAGTAATATTGTTTCTGATATATCTGTATATTTGTATTTTTTCTAAAAGTAGAAATTTCTCTAACTCACTAATTACACTTAATAACTTTCAGGAGTCAAACCATTTATTTTAGTTAAACATTTTTAAAAATTTAAATACTATATTATTCTTTGAAATGAAGAATTCTCATTAGAATTTTTCTTTTTTGTGTGGATCTAAAGATGGAACTAAAAGTTTTGAGAAATGTTTAATTGAAATAATAATTTTTAGTAATCAGAACATTTACTAAAAATGGAGTTGAATTTATTACAATTGAAAATTTATCTTTTAAACATTTAATATTAAATTTTTTTTATTTTAGAAATTAAAAAAAAAAATATTATAACGAATCATTATTTATTTCAGTTAAAAATAGATTGATATTAAAATCTTAGTTGAAATTAATTAAAATTTGTTTATATATTAATGTAATATTAATTTATTATTAAATTTTATTTATATTTTACTTTGTATTTATTCCATTCTATTTTTCAAGTATTTTTCTATATTCTGAAACTGAAAATGTTCTTAATTATTTTTTTAAATATGTGATTAAACAAAGCAAACATATTTTTCATGGTTGATATGGTATGAAATCTGGAATTTATATGAAAATAAACTAAATTTATCAAGCAGTAAATTAATTAGTACAGCAATTCCTGACTTGGGTATTCTCTTGGTGGTTTGGGGTATGCAAAAAAAAAAAAAAAATTAAAAATGGCAGATTTACTATAAGAATGTTTAGATTCTGTGTTGAGACCTCTGGCAACATTATGGCACTCTCTGCTTAGTTTTAAATAAAAATATAGTTACATTTTTATTATATTTATCTGTGTCTTTCCTCCAATGCTTTTCAATTTAAAAAAACTTTTTTACACTTAATTGTACATCACTGTATAATTGACCAAGACGCCACTGTTTGACTAACATATGAAAAAACTTAGTGAAAAAGGGAAATAAATTTTGGGAAAATGGACTGTGTCAAGGGGTAAGCAAGTCAAAAAGATTGCTGAATTAGTACATACATGATGATAAATAATATTTTTCTTATATTTAATAAATAAAATATTATTTGTTATATATGTATATATATGCTTATATTGACATTAATGCAAATATACATTTTGAACGTGAAATGAATAAAATGAAAAATAATTCTCAAAAATTATTAGAAATAGCAAATATGGTAGATTTATAGAAAAATTAATGGAAAAGACCAACATTAATACTCTTAAACAATTGCTTCTAATAATTAATTTGTATGCTACAAATAAGTTACTACAAAATTTAAAATATTTTTATAATGGTGCATCTTTTCTTTCTTGCATGCTCTCTTATCATAGAAAACTTGGCATAGTATGATAAAATTGTTACATTTACAGAATTTAAATATTTCTTATACTGTGAAACTTCTAAGACAAGAGAACATTCTCAAAAATGGTGCTTTTTCAACATTGACCACCTAAGAGAATGAATGATTTTGGATGTGAAACTACAGATTATATTCTACTTAAAAACTCTAGCACAGTTTGCTTGTTTGTTTGTTTGTTTATGGTTTTAATCTACAGTACATAACAGCATAAAAATTTGACATTAAAGTATTTTTAATGCATTTATTTTTGCTCATTAATAATTATTTTTTGTTCTGAGATTATTAAGTAGAGCCAGGGGAAAAAATAGTGTCTGCTTATTGAATAAATATCAAATATAAAATAAATGCTCTTGACAAATACAGTCTCTATACTATCAAATAAGTTGTAAGTTTTAGAAACCATTTAAGTTTTTATTTTTAAAAATATTTAATAGAATTTTAATATAATTTTATTTAATAATCATCTCATTATTTGAATCTAAAAAAATTATATCAAGATTAAATTATTATAAAATAAACTGAAATATTGATATTTAATTAAACTCAGAGAAAACAAAAAGCAAAATTTAACAGAGTAGAATAATTTATGATAAAAACATATCTTCATGATTTGAAGATATTTATTTTTCATTCATTTCATAAGATAAAATTTTATTGCAATTATAGGTAAAATTGTAAATTTAATAAAAAAGTTTATAGAAATTAAATTTATATATTTTATTAATTTAACTATATAATATATTTTAATTATCAGAATTAATTTTTAAGGTTAAAATTACTGCTTTATTTTTAAAAACTTCTTAAATATTTCTTTACCACAAAAACTTACCATGACCAATATTGATATCTGTATTGGCATAATTCGGTTCTTCTTTAATTTCAGCAAGTTCAGCATAATGTAATACTGAGTTTCCAGTAACACCTGCAGTTTTATTACAAATTCTTGAAGATCTGGATAATGGTGGGGAAGATGTTGTAGAAGATGGAGAAGGAGAAACTACAGATGATGATGATGGAGTAACAGCTGTTGATGGTGGAAGAGATGATGACATATTTCCTTGAAGAGGATTATTGATTGTTGGAGATGATCTAGGCCATGTACCATAAGAGGTTGTTGGCATTGTTATTATTGAATTGCTTTGATTATTTCTTTGGCTTTGAACTGAATTTTTTGATTGAGAGTTTTCGTGTTTTATGTCGGTGTATGTTACACTGATACCTAAAAATATAATCATCAATAAACAGTTCTTAATTTTTAATCAAAAGCAATTAAATAATTTGAAATTTTATATTTAATAAAATTTTCAAACATTCTGGAAAATAAGTTTAAATAATTTATTAAATATTAATTTAATTTTATATTTAAGACAAAAAATAGTATGCTTTCCTGTTATTTCAGATAGATTTGTGATAAAAATTACTCTCAGGCATAGTAAAAATAAATTTATTATTTATAACTTAAATAAACACTAAATTAGCATTTTAAAATATAAATTCAGATATAAATTTTGAAGTAATAGAATGTAAATATAATATATCAATCTCTCTATATTTGTATACCAAATATTTATTTTTATAAGTGTCAATGATGATTATTTGTTAATATCAGTATATTCATAAATTTCTGTTATCTTGTTATTAAAAGGAGATTATTACTTTTTAAAAACAAAAAAATTCATTTAATTAAAAATATTTTCTAATTATGGCAAATAAAATTCTTTAATAATTACTTTTATTGATGAATGACCTTTTGGAATTGGTATTTAACTAATTAAAATTTTTGAGACAAATAACAACAAAAATCTCAAATATATATTAGGTATTTGGTTAAGTTTTCAATAAACAGGAATAATTTTCTACTTGTTAAAAAGCATAGTAATGACAAATAATAATTTAAACTAGCAATAAGATAAATATAAGAAAATGTATAAAATATGAATAACAAATGCATTATAACTGAAAGATTTTGGCATATCAACCCTTTGGTACAATAAACTCAATCCCAATGTTCCCTACTCTACTGTTCAAAAATTATTTTAGAATATCATTTTTCATGATTCCCTAAGAAAAACAATTAAATTTGATAACATTTATTGGGTTTGGTTTTAATCATATGATACTGCCGAATTCTTACCAGACTATAATATGGCTAATTAATTAATAGGATATCAAGAAATTTGCACTACAGATAGGCAATTAAACTGCCATCTTGTGTTGAAATGAGTTAATTTAATCTAGACTATTCTGGAAGGAAAAAATCAATCTGAAGCAGGACTCAAACTTGCAACTATTGCTTACTGTGCAGATGGCATGATAAGCAGGAGTTGTGAGAAGCACTTATTTCATTGATTATAGCTAATTTTTGTATTACATGTCTTTATTTATTTTTTGGTATAACACAGTTTCAGAAAAAGCTACTAGCAGACTTTGTATAGCATGTTCTCTTAATGCCTTTCTCTACTTTCAAGGAATACACCTACCAATTTTAACTAAGGATATCATGTGATATTAGAAAACCAGAGAGTAGATTCTTAACATCTAAATTAATACTAAAATCACATCAACATATTGTACACATTCAGAACCAGGCAATTTTGGAGTTACACCCCATTCTCAGGTTCAATATTCTTTAAAAAACAGTTTTGAAAGTTCAGTTAGTACTAGTTCTACTTTTAGGTTTATAATTTGATACTACAAGTTACACATTTGAAATGAGATCATCTACTGAGAATGTTTAATTTGCTTTTTGTTAAAAATGTTTGAATGTTTCAAGGATATTCCATTTTGTTTTTTCTGCTATGATACTAGATCAATACTAATCAATACTAGAATCAATACTAACTGAACTTTTAAAGACTGTTTTTAAAGAATATTGAACCCTAAGAATGGAGTGTAGCTCTGAAAGCACTTGATTCTGTACAGTGTGTTGAACAAATAAAGAAGTTTTTAGTCTGAAGATGTAAAGTTTTGAAAAAGTCAAAGATCATTTATTTTTCATATATACAAAAGTCCCAAAAGTTTTAAATATTTCGTTGAAAATATAAAAATTTTATTTTAAACTTAACAATAATGGACAAAAGAGAATTACAGCAACCGTGACTTTAATTCTTTACACTTACAGTAGCAAAACCAAATTTAAGAAAAACAGATTATTAAGCAAAATTTTACACACTAATAATCTAAAATTACTATTAATGAACTTATTTATTCATTAATTATCTATTTAAATTAATTTAAAAAATTAATGGAAAATTAATAGGTCAATTTTACAATATTTTAAACAATATTCTCAGTAAAGTATAATCATAATATTGCACTAATATTTTATTTGTAAACTCTAATGCTAATGTATCTACAATAATTGATTTTTAAATGTTATTCATTGTTTTCTATAATTCAATAACTAATAATAGCTATACATTTCCTTTATTTTTATCTCTGAAATTTTATGCTAATGTAATATTTCCATTCATTTGTAAGAAAACATTCATCCTATATCTAATATATAAGTGCCTGTCCATTCAATTATATTTAGTATTTTTTGCTGTAATTTTCATAATGTAAAATATATCGAAATGTTCATTTTAGCACTGTGTAATAAACAGACATTTATTACAAATTGTCAAAATTAATTTCAGTTATTAGTTTGTCATCCTGTTACAAATAATTTCTAGAAATTCTAATTAGGAACTTTATATATATTTTATTAAAGTTAAAAAACAAAACAAAAGTCTAAAACACACTGTTCTGGACATTTTGTTTTTTGTTTTTCACCCAAAAATGATCTGTGTATAATGAATAATGATAAACAATTATCTTTAGTAGTAGTAATATTTGTTGCTATCCTAATTTATATTTATTTATTTATTTTTGCACTATTTCTGAAGTTTTCATGAATAATATCAATTATTGCTTATTTTATATTGATTTAGTTAAAGAATTTTATTTTGTAATTCAAGAATTTTAATTATTATGTTACCGCTAAAGCTCGAAATCCGTTAATGTGCGCATTACCTAGCTAATCTGGAGATTAACTAGGTTGATCCATTAAAGCTGCGAAAATTATTCCATTTCTCAAATTACCTAGTTAATGTTCAGATTATCTAGGTAATTTGCAGATTACCTAGATAATCTTATTTTCACTTTACCGAGTGCCTAGGCACTCGGTAAAGTGAAAATAAGATTTCTGCTGGAACAACAGCAACGTTTCTGTACGCTTAAATTAACATAATGTTATTTATTTAATTTTTAATATCTAAAGGATCAAGTTAATACAATCAACAAATTAGTTGATTGAATCAATCATCAATCAATTAAAAAAACTTTAATACAAAAATCAAACGGTTTAAAATATTACTACAATTAGGGAAATGAATTTGCAAAACATATGATAAAATTGTACTTACTTATTAGTGCAATCTAAAGATTGGTGACACTTTGAATTACGTAGCAATTGGTTTTTGCGACAAGCACGCCTATTTGTGGTACATTTAGATTTGCAGTCACATTTTCTGAAACCCTGCCCAGTACCAAGGGATTGTTTTATTGCTGTTTGACGTAAAGATATTTCTACAGCAGGGACATCCATCTTCTTTCGTTAAAAATCTCTCTTTGCAAACACTGAATTCAGATTTTGCATACAATTGTTTTAAAATACCTGTTTTAGTATCAAGTTTATAAAAGCCATCCTCTGTTTTACTAAGAACCACAGCTAAAATTGAACGTGCATCAGTTTTTGCTCTGTCTTCTTCGGGTACTTTAATTCTCACAGCGAAACCTTCATCGACGTTTGGGTGCTTTGCATTAGAAACTGCTAACATTTTCTTTGCTTGCTTTTCTAAACATTTCTTGGCTTCATCACGCTGTATTTTCTGATCCATATTCTTTTTACAGATGATGCACAATACATTCTTACCATACCCTTCCTCTTTAGGATCTACTTCACCACAAACTGCGTGAACAAACATATTACACGATTTACACTTGTGAGCACTTGATGCTGCTTTTGAGCAAACAATACAGACTATGTCTTGTATAGTGCTCTTTACAGGCTCCGTACGAAACTGTGATGGCGATTCTGCTGAAGTTGAGAGTAACTCAGTGATGACTTCTTCAACTTGCAGAGGCGATTCCTTGGAGGTGCAGGGTAACTGAATATTCTTCGTGACTGCATCATCAATCAACGGTATAGAAGGCAGTTTAAGATTACTATCGGTAAATTCTTGTATTTCTATAGGTGATTCTGTAGAAGCGGGGGATAACGGAATGTCCTCTTGAGTAAGATTTGACTGTGATCTCATAATCACAGTCTCTTGTGAATCTTCTAATTTTTCAAGGTCTTCTTCAGTTTTTATCGAATGTCAAACAATTCTCCGGCATGGACAAACTTTTTCAAACCTTTCTCACGCATCTGGCAACAGCTCAATGAGTTTTTCACAGCCTCGTACAGTCAACACATCACACCTTTGAATTATTTGATAATCTCGAGATGATTCTTTCTTTTTGAAATCTTTTATTTGCTTTACATCTTTAATTATAGAATCATACTTTGGTTTGTTATTAAAACACTACGTATTATATTTTAAATCTTCGCTAAAGAGGTTTGCGAAGAATCTTTTCTTGATTTTTCTCACCAATTCGGTGCTTGCTTGCATTCTAGGATTTAAATTTATCTACGTAAAAAGAAGGAGTGGGGAAAAGAAGTGAAAGAAACAAACTTTTGAACTTTAACGATACGGAAGCCGTTAATGTACAGATTACCTAGATACTCTGCAAATTACCTAGGTAATTTGAGAAATTGAACAATTTTCGCAGCTTTAACGGATCACACTAGTTAATCTGAAGATTAGCTAGGTAATGTACACATTAACGGATTTCGAGCTTTAGCGGTAACAATTATTCTGCATATTACATTATTTCTTATTAAATTTCAAGTTTACTTAGCAATTTAACTAGAAATAATATAACATGATTATAAAATTTTAATCTTCAATTTACAGTTTATTCATGAAGTTAAAAATAATTAAAACCATATTTGTTTCTAAAAATTAATTTGATAACATACAATTATAATCTGGTATTTTAATGTATATTCATTATTATAAATTAATAATCTACAATAATCAACTAGTATTAAAAAAATAATGGATAACAACATTTTAAATTTATATATTTAATCTTGAATTACTGAAAATATACACTACTGAAAACATTTGCAAC